CGCGGGGGGTGGGCGCGGGGGGCGGGAGCAGGTTGGGGGGGGGGGGGCCGCCCACCTTCCCAGCTCCCCCCCGGGTTGTAGCCCGGCCCGGCCCGAGCCGGCTTCCCCCCCCCCGCCGCCTCTACACCCACGCTCTCGGTAGAGACATGTCGCTTTCCCGGGAGGGATGCGGGGCCCCGACGGGCGCGGGCTGAGGCTTTGCTGCCCGCTCTGGTCCCCGGCAGCACCCTTGCCCCTTTGTCCTCATGAGTGTCTGCGCTTCTTGGGGACTCTCCACACCCAGGAGGTGACTCATTCCAAGAACCAGCAATGTGCTAACTTCGCAGTGCCGTTCGGTAGTTGAGGGTTGGGAAGGAGTGTAGCATCCACGAAGTGTTTTGGTGGCCCCTGGCAGGGGAAAAATCTGTAAATTACGTACACGTGACAGTCCTCGGCTTCTAAACTTTAAATTTGTTTGTTAGTCCATGTCAAAATTCAGTGTTTCTTGTGGTTGTGATTATTGCAGTATTCAAACAGGATTTTCCAGACCAATAAATGGAATCCAGCAACCTAGCACCATAGTAGTTGTGTGGCTACAACTCGTCCAATCCTGGAGGACCGTAGCCTTTGTTGTCGTGCAGTAATGTCCAGACCCGTTTTCAGTAATGTAAAGAAAAGCACTGTAGAACCTCTGCATGTTAACCTGTTCCCTTAGAAATCACATGTCCCCCTTTCTGATCAAATTCAACTTTTTGTTTGGTGGAGTGTGCAAATTTAGGGTAGTTGTGCCGAGTATGTCTTCTGGGTGCTTGTGAACTATTTTAACAGAAAGGGTCAGAATTTGGGATCAGCAATTCCTGTTCAGCAATGTACTCGTTTTCTTTAGCATCAGGAATGTTTGTTTCCTAGATACTTCAATGAGAACTTGTGTTAAACACCCAGCAGTGAGTGTGTCCTCTATTACAGATGGTTAGCAGCAATTTTTCTTTGATGGTTTCTAGTGAGAAGAGCCCTGTGTTTTATTAGCTTTGTTGAACTAAGAGGCCTGAGTTCCTGATGATCTGTGTCCCATTTGCCATATAAAGAACCAGAGCTGTTTTATACTGAGAAATGAAACCATTCCCCCCCACCACCTTTGGAAAGCTAGATTTGATCTGTTAAAACAGTCTTGGTTAACCAGATTACATGTGTGTAGTTACCTGTTAAGTGGAATGTTTGACGTTGGTCATTGGTGACATTGGTTAGACAGCACCTTCAGGGTGCATTTTGGTGAAATTCAGCCTATTACTGTGTTTTGGGATAGTTACGGTAGCAGTATTACAGAGAATGGATGGAAGATGGTCAGAATAGGCTTCATGTAGACTATTGGAGTGTTCTTGGAAATTGAATGGTGAAGAAAGCCTACAGAGAGAAAAGAATGGATATTTGTTATCACTGGCAAGAGCAAACATGCAGAGGTAGGCATGTATTCATATCTGGGTGATGGTTAATAGAGCATCATGGTTGGGTTAGGCTGTAGCAAGAAGTCAGTTTGGGAAGGCAGAGTTTGACCAGATGAAAGCGGAGGTCTTTTGCTTTTATCCTGCAAGCAATAGGGAACCACTGAAAACTTTTGCTGTAAACAAAGTGACTTTTGGCCAACATACATTTTCTATTAGGAATAAGTTCAAGAATCTTTTGCTGATCTGGAGATGTGGCTCAGTGGTAGAGTACTTCCACAGAATGCATGAGATCCTGATTCCATCCCTTGGACCAAGAGGGTAGGGGAAATCTATTGTTCAATAGGGTAACTTCAGTTAATGTGTCTCATTTGTGAAAAGTGCTGACAATGAATGTAAAGTGTTTTTACCACAAAAATAATCATGTGATGTAATACATCTAGATTGACTAGGTTTAATCATTCCTTGATGTGTATATTCTTGGAAATATGTTATAAATGATAAATACGTACAATTCTATCAGTTTAAAAGCTCAACATAGACGTTTATTAAGAATGAATCTGCAGAGTGTGTTGAAAGCAGGAAAGATTGGAAGATATACCAATAAGGAATAGGTTCATCTGAGTTTTCTGGAAAAAAGGGACTTTGGTCTTGGCTGGGACTGATTATGAGATGAAACAAGTTGGAGATGGCTTTTCTTTGCACCTGGACAGATGGTGCTTTTTATTTAATTCTTTATTTAATCCTAATTATAGGATTAAAACATTGGAGGAGAACAGTTTGTGGGGAAAGTGATAAGTTAGGAGATATTTAGTGGAGAACTTTAAAAAAATTTTTTTTTTCTTTTGAGACAGGTTCTCATGTATCCCATGCTGGCCTCAAATTTACTGTATAGCTGAGGGTAGCCTTGAACTTCTGATTCTCTTGCCTTTACTTTCTGAGTGTTGGGATTGCTTTCTGAAAACTTAAATACTTGGTTGTTAAATAAGAAGTTTAATTCCTGGGGCTAGGCACATGGCTCATGAGGTAAAGTGCCTGCTGCTCAGACATGAGGACGGAATTCAGATCCCCAGTGGGGGGAAGGGTGGCGCCAAGAGGAGGGATCCCAGAGCCTTGCTGGCTAGCCAGTCTAGCCAAAACATTTAGCTCCAGGTTCAGTGACAGACTGCCTCAAAAAAGAAGGTGGAGGGTGATAAAAAGAAGACACCCAACATCAACCCCTCGCCTACACATGTGCATCTGCAAACAGTTGCCCACATATGCATATTCTATATACACACTATGTATATATTGTAAGAGTGAGACCACTGAGGACAAGTCAGCCTTCGGGTTGCAACAGCATGAGGTTTATTTGATACACAGGTACCTGTGGGCACAAAGTCTCCTCGGAGGACTTGCGCGCCTACAGGCTGGGGTTTGGCACTTTTATAGAGCAGAAGCAGGGTACAGAAGCAGAAGCACGGTTATTGGTTAATTCAAAAACACACAGAGTAATTTCAAAAGCACACAGAAATATGGGGTAAGGGTCGGGGCTAAGGGGAAGTGGGATTGCTAAATGGGAGGTGACCTCAGGGACACAGAGGTTTTTCTCCTGATTTCCTGGTATCGAGCCCCGGGGATTGCCAGATGCAGATGGCTTGACCACTACGTCCTGTTTTTCTGATAAGCTAGTTTCTTAATGCTTGACCTCTTGTCAGGCATTCCTATCAGGTGGCCTCATGGCGCCTAGGTTTTTTCATTCCTCCCTTTTTCTTGGACATATGAGTGGAATCTTTCACTCACTCATCATAACATATCTAGATCCTGAGTCCTCAATGCCTGGTACTGGCTGGTGAGGACTAGTGCCTGAACTACAGACAGCCGATCCTTTACGAATTGGACCAGCCGATTAAATCCAGTGGGCGCTTTTCCAATGCAGGTGCCTGTAAGGAGGGAGTACTAGCAAAGTTAGAAATATCAGGGTCCAGAAATGTAATAGCTGGGGGCGGAGCGCCATACATGATTTCAAAAGGAGTAAGCCCGCTGGGTCCAGGAGTGTTCCTGGCTCGATATAGGGCCAAGGGGAGTAGGGCCACCCAGTCTTTAGTGCCAGTTGCTAGCGAAAATTTAGTTAAAGCCTCTTTAATTGTCCTATTCATTCTTTCTACCTGGCCTGAACTCTGGGGTCTGTAAGCACAATGTAATTTCCAATCAATTCCCAACAACCTGGCCACTTTCTGACTTACCTGGGAGACGAAGGCCGGTCCGTTATCTGACCCTATTACCTGAGGCATCCCGAATCGAGGAAAGATGTCTTCTAGTCAATGCTCCGGCTCCTCCAGTTTGGTGTGATAGTGGGTGGTCATCCAGTGCTCCCATTAACTCAGAGCAGGCAGGGCTGAGGCTGCTATCAGGCAGGGTAGGCACCAGCTCAGGCTCCAGGAAGTCGCTTAGTTGGCTGGCGTCATACCAATTGAGGGAGAGGCCACCTGGGCTGCTAGGCCCCTTGTCACTGCACGGGGCTTCTGACATCAGCTCTAGGGGCCCAGCTATCCCTTTGGGCCTCCGCAGCAGACCTCGGAGCTCCATCAGGCTGGGCAGGGTCAGCAGCTCCTGTGCAAAGTCCTTAGCAGCATCCAGAAAGCGGGCCAGGGGGTCCTGGGCTTGCCCCATTGCAGACACCAGGGAAGCCCTCTTCAGAAGCGTCTCTAGGATCTCTGTGGTCAGCATGGGCTCTTCATTTTGTGGTCAGCATGGGCTGAGCCAAGCTTCACTTTGGGCAGCTCTGAGCAATGGCAACAGTTTCCTGAGGGCAGCCAGTGTGTCTCGGGCACTGCGGCCTCCCAGCACTGAGCGGGCATCAGCCAGGAGCCGGGAGACCAGGGAGTTTTTAAAGTTGCTCAGGACCCCTGGCTTCTCTCCTGGCGTTGGATGTTGGAAGCAAGAGTAGATCAGTCCTTGGAGCCAGATGGCAGTGGCTTGTCGTGGTGCTCTACTGGGGGGTGCGAGTGATGAATGGCCACCAGGATGAAGAACAGGAACAGGGGCCACAGCAGTTCCTCGAGTAGCTGGATCGGCTGTCTCCTGCGATAAATGTAGTTTTTCCAAAGTAAAAGCGTCAACTGAGGGCAAAAAGCCATGATGACTCTGGACAGGGGACAGAGCGGAGGGGTGGAGACGAAGGTCAGGCCGGGGGC